AGCCAAATGCTGAACAAGACACAGAATCACACACCAGGCCCTGCCCACAGTGGGAAGGCAGCCAAGAATTACTGCCACCTCCACTCCAGAGAGGGCACCCTACGCTAAAGGCCACAGAGAGGACCCGTCCCTCCTCAGAGACGGCTTGCTATTTCTCAGACTGTGGAATTTCCTAATGAGTAAACAAATAAGTAAGAGTACTTCTATAATTTTCAGTGTGATTCAGAATCAGGGAAGCAATAAACCTTTGGTGCTTATGAATGGCCCAAACAGCTGGGAGGAAAAAAGAAAAGAGGCTTTTCAGAAAAACAACAGAGAAAAGTAGTTCTAAGGCCGTTTCACTGATTATACCCTCTTTGTTTTCTCATGTATGACTCAAAATTTTAAACAATGAACAAAAGCCAAATGTGACTAGAAACTAATATGTTACTGTTTGAATTAATGCTGATCAAGAAGAAAATGGAAAACATTTTAAAAATTGCAGATAATCCCTGTTTGGGTTTGAATTGTGTCCCCCAAAAATATGTGTCAAAAGGTCAGCAGTTCGAATCCACCAGCTGCTCCTTGGAAACCCTACAGGGCAGCTCTACTCTGTCCTATAGAGTCGTTATGAATCAGAATTGACTTGATGGCAACACGTTTGGTTTTTGATTTTTATACCTGTGGTTATAACCCCACCTGGGAATGGGTTTTCTTTGTCATGTTAATGAGGCAATATTACTGTAGGGTGTGACTTAAACCAATCTCTTTTGAGATATAAAAGCAGATTAAGAAAACAGAGAAGAAAGTAGAGATGGGGGAAGAAAGACGCGAAATCACATGAAGATCACCAAGGAGCCAAGGAATAGAATTTGAAGAGACAAAGACCTTCCCCCAGAGCCAACAGAGAGAGAAAGCCTCCCCTAGAGCCAGTGCCTTGAATTCTGGCTTCCAGCCTCCTAACTATGCGAAAATAAATTTCTATTTGTTAAAGCCACCCACTTGTGGTATTTCTTTTATAGCAGCACTAGACAGATAACTGAGACAATCTCCAAACCTCATTTCATCTATTAGGATTCTCCCCTTTTAGATATTTTACAGAAATGCTAATGAGTTGACAATAATTACCTTATTGAGCATCTGCCAGGTGCACGGCATTGTACATAGCTTCAAAATGCCCAACTGATTTTTGTCCCATCCTCTGTGAAGCCTCTGATTTCCATGGTTTTGTTGCTTTTCCTTCTGTACTCCAGAGAACATGCTTCTAGTATGCTTATTGTAGCATATACCAGGATATGTTACAAGAACCTATCACACCATCTGTTCTCCCCACTAGATTTTGAACTCCTCAAAGATGGGATCCATGCACGGTTCATCTCTGCAACCCTGGTGTTCAGTACATGTTTGATACATGAATGGACGATTAACCAAATGAAGAGTACTTCACCTTGGTTCCTTCTCCCAAATCCCTAGTCTGCATTTAGGGGGAGGTGCTGATGCTGAGTGACAAACTAGCATTCAAAAGGCACAAGTGAAAAGAGGAGTGTCCAAAGGTGTGGCTGAACCTCAGACAAGAACGTCAACTTCATAATCATGAAGAGGTGGCTGCCTTCCCCAAGGGACCAAGGATATAACAGAGCTACAGCAAATTCCTCAAGCCAGAGCTGGGGTTAATAAATCCAAACTCCCACCTTAAAGCCCAGTGTAGCTTACTGGGAAGAGGTTAGCAGTTCAACCACCTGCTGGGCTCCAGGCCCAAGGCAGCCTGTTCTGGTGAACAGAGGCACGGCCAACACTAGGAGTCCAGAGAAGGGTCTCAGCCACCTAGCCATAAGGATATTTTTCGCTTTATTCTCCCTTCCCAGATTCCAAAAATGGTCACACAAAAATAAATAGACACTAGAAAACTCTAAGTGAAAAGAGGACATTTCCAACCAGCTCTACAGAGGAATGGTTTGGATGCTCTGTCCCTTGCATGGTCCCTGGGGACTCAGGCTGCTGTGGATACCTCCTTTGGGTCTTTCAGAATGCAAATATGTACACGAGGGAATAAATGGATTCCATGGGATGCAGCAGTATGATGTTGTGCATGGGTATCTAATCATCTTCATCACACATGCCAAATTTAATGGATCAGTCAGGGCCTCGGTCTTTTTGCTGAATTTGAGAATTTTGCTATGGTCCAGGGAGGCAGGTGAATAGCAGCACACATGCCACATATCTGACATCCCAGTGTGACAGGACGTGTGCAAAAGACCTTGGCTCCTGATCTGCCATCAGCTAGTCATGAAACTGAGGGCAAACCAGCTGCCTCCTTGTGCCTCAGATTCCTTATCAAATGAAGGGTTAGCCAGACTGTCTCTGTGATCACTTCTAAGATTTCCTTTCTTTCATCCATCATCACTACCAAGGAAAAACCTCACCCTTCCGTTTACCTTCACACCGCTGACATGAAGGCAGGCCCAACTATAGATTTTTATGCTCACAAACAGGAGTGTTTATAAAATACTGCTTACGATTATTAGATAAATCTAGTACGTATCTCCTTATCATGGACTGATCTAGTGTTCATACTCCCCAACCCTGCATCACACATCCATAAGGATGGCAGCTCATTGGATGCTGTTCTATTTTGGGTCCAATTCAACTATCTTTCTGCAACATTAATTCTCACTACACCAACAGTTCTCATCAACCAAATCAATGCAAATGGTTGACTCATCATTCTCTTCTTGAATGTTTTGCCTTTCTCAATACCTAATTTTTGCATCTACCTTTCTGGTGACTGGTGGCGGGCACCCTCGAGACCAGTATTTTATACTTGGCCCTTTCCAACCTCATAGCCACTCTTTAGAATACTCAGAAAAATCTAGGTGGTCACATCCCAGCTGTGTGTAAGGCAGAGCAAAGTTTGGGAGATTCTGCTTTCTTCCTGTTACCATTTTCAGTACAAGGTTTAAAATGATGAGCGCTTGATCAAAAAATTTAAGATTAGTTCTCAAATTGAATTTGATTTTAATGGGAGAGCTATCTTTTCCAGCCTCAAACACACTACAAAAATATGTTCCTAAGAGGTAATAATTTCTAATCAAGTATTTTTATATATAGATTTTTTCAAAATGACTGGAGCAGTTTTTTGTTTTTTATTTTGTTTTGTTTGTGTGTGTGTAGCTCTTTTCTATATATTTATACCAAAACAATCATTTAAGGATAAAAGTTTGAGTGGTTCACTATATTGGGTACTTGCTTGATGCATTAAGAAAGGTTGCTGTAGTACATTGTAGAATATGAATATTCATATTAGATCAGCATGTAGGTCTTTGAACTCAACCTTCTCAACTAGAGTTTTAATCTATATCAAGTCAATCCAAGGTTGGCTCCCACCCTTGAGTTCTCTTCCTTATACTTGAGAAGAGTGTATTACACTGTTCAAGGGACAAGAAATTCTTTACTCTTGTATTCTCACTTTGTCATACCACATTTGGCAAACTACAGAGTAACAAAAATGCTTAACATTATTGAAAAGAAAAATGCAGCAAAGTTTAACCTGGTAACCATGGAAAGCAAAGAGATACAGCAGATTTTCTAATCCCAGCCTAGAAAGTTATCTCAGTAGAGAGGCATTGTCTGCACTTCTCTAAGTTCAATTGAGTTGAGGAGAAAGAAGCAATTGCTGACAAATCAGCCAGGGATATTTATTCAGTTTTGCCTAGAGTCTCAGGGAGTAATGGGAGGAGCAAGATTCCTTTCCTCTTTTCTCAAAAACCCTTTGGTTTAAAGTTGTTTTCTCCCCTATAATTTTAAAGTTGTCTACTCTCCTATAATTTTTAATTATCACAAATGAACACCAGAGTATCTCAGGGCTCATCCATATCAGAGCAAATAATTGAAATTATTAATGGCTTGAAGGTTTGCACATATCACCAGAGGACACAGCAGATTACCCACACATAATTCTACCCTGAACATTTCTCTTGAGTCAAGTCTAAATAGTACCATCTTCCTCTGCAAAAACAGGCAGATACCCCAGCAAAGGTCAAACATAATAACTGACTCGACAGAAGCCCACTGTAAAGATAAAACATTCCAGATTTCTCTATGAAAAAAAAAAAAATCAAATTCACTGTGGCTGAACACTATTAGTCTTTTGAGTTCTATAGCTCTGCAGAATTGTCAAAAGTAACCCTGTAGCCGATACGTTGGCAGATACCAAAAACAACCTGAAACAGACCACTCACAGTGCCAAATGCAGTGTCAAAGAGCAGAGAGACAGTGCCACCAAGGCCCATAGCAATGTCCTTGCACACAATGGGAATAGCACCCATGGTATACACAGGGAAAGTGGCCACATCCACAATGACTCGGACAGGGATGCCCAGAACACGGCAAACAGCCTTCAGCAGACAACAAAGGATCCGGAGAATGGCCCTGATGATCTTGACCGTGACCTTGAGCACCTTCCAGGGAATGCTTACCAACTCTTCCCCAATGGCCATAAAGTATGAGATGGTGGCTGAGCCCAGGCGGTAAAGGCAACTTTCTATGCCATTTATCACCTGTTTGGTAATGTACCACAGGAAATAGACACTGTACTTCAGGATTCCTACCACAAGATAACAAAGTAATTGGAAAAGCTTGATGAATGGGGTAGCAATGATGCCCATCAGTTTTCCCAAAAGGCTACTACTTTCCTCAGGTGCCTCTGGAGACAACAGAGCAGACCTCTTGTTCCTTGTGCTGGAGAGAGGAATAGCGCTCACTTTAGACTGCACCCCTCGCTCTTCATCCTGGACTTGGTTAACCATTTCCAGGATTTTCTTCATTTTCTCTGTGTCTTGCTCAGTTTCACCGCAGTTGTTATGGAACAGCTGAGGGTCAGATGGAAGTAGTTTCTCGAGATCTTTCACCATCACATCTTCTATGACGTCACCGTCCTGGGTGTGCTTGACAAAGCCCATAGCCCAGCCTCCAGGAATAGCACAACAGGCTGCCAGCCAAACAAACTCAGGGATTTTCACTTTGTCTTTAACTTTGTGGTCTGAGGGCACTGCGCCTGTGATGATATATAGGTCTTCCCCATTGCCACAGTGTGGGGCTAAGGCCCGGTCCATTAGGCTGTTGAGATTCATGTACCACCGTTCCCTGAAGGATGGGGTCATTGGAGCTGCATTTGTGAGAGTGAATGTGGCCATTTGGAAATCACTGCTAAGGGGGAATGGGTATAGCTGTCCTCTTTGATAATCAGAATCCAGGTAATCTGTATTCAGGGCTTGCTTGCTTCCCAGATTGTTCACCAAGGTGATGGCATCAGCTTCATTAATCACCTCTTCAATGTTGCTGTTGGGGTCATCAATCTGAAAAAAGAGAACAAGTGTTGAGATGCATCCTTGTTCACAGCAGAGAGGATGTACTTGAATCATGAGATTCTAGAGAAGTCTCTATTGCACGCTCATTTCTAATGAATGCTGGGTTTTTTGGGCACATGTACACTTCATTCTCAATATCCCCCAATTCTGCTGTTTGAACACTTACTTCAAATAGGCTGTTTTCTATTTTACTCCCTGTGTATACCCTATCCCTGCTCTGCAGTTCACCCCTACCCCAAACGTGCACACACAAATACACTATCCTGACACTCATTTTTAATCTGCTGTAGTTTTATGAATTTCATAATTCTTTTCTGGAATATTTTCCCATGGGATTCAAATTAGATGTAAAAGTGAAAACAAAGGGAAAGCAGATTTCAACACCACAGAAATCAGAACCGACATTCAGCTAATAGCCACCGATGTTCGCTGCAATTTAATGCCTACATTCTTAATTAATGTTTACACATTGTGGGATATATGAAAAACAATCAACTTCAATCAGAGCATCTAAATCAAATAGGAGAAAGTGGACAGTTTGGTGTAAATTATTAGATACTTATCAGGCCAAGCTAAACTTCAAATTTGAGCCTGCTGTTTAAACTTAATCTTCCCATAATATTTGCTGTTATTTACAATTCCTTTTCATTCTTGGTCAATCTAGATATGTGTTATATACCAATTATAATCTATATACATATATTTCCTTGATTCTCCTTTTTTTAAATTCAGCAGTATAATATATACTTTCACTTTGCCAATCTGAAAGGGTAAATGGAAAGAGCTCAAGAATAAACCTAGGCCCTAATTTACGGCATAAATAGAATATTAAGCATAACTAAAAATGCACAAACTCCATAAGATAAAGTAGAAAACTGGGACCTCCTAAAAATTAAATACTTATGCTCATCAAAAGACTTTTCCGGGGACCTCATACCATCAAGAAAACAGTGCCGGGAGCAGAGCGTGCCCTTTGGACCAGGGTCCCTGCACAGAGAAGCTCCTAGTCCGGGGGAACACCGAAGAGAAGAAGGCCGTCAGAGAGAAAAAGCCTTCCCCTGGAGGTGACACCCTGAATTTGGACTTTTAGCCTACTTTGACTATGAGGAAATAAACTTCTCTTCATTAAAAAAAAAAAAAAGACTTTTCCAAGAGAGTAAAAAGAGAACCTACAGACTGGGAAAAAATCTTTGGCCATGATATATCTGATAAAGGTTTAATTTCTAAAATATATAGAAAACTTCAACAAATCAACAATAAAAAGATGAGCAACCCACTGACCAGGATCACAACACAGGGTTCTGGACAGAGCTGGAGAAGGATGTAGAACATAATTCTAACTCACAAAAAAAAGATCAGATTTACTGGACTAAAGGAGACTGGAGAAACCCCGAGAGTATGGCCCCCAGACACCCTTTTAGCTCAGTGG